CGGGCCGCGCGGGCGTCCGCGCCCCTTGAAGACCCCGGCGGCCCGGCAGGCGGACAGGGGCCACGGTGGAAAGGCCTGGTCTGGAGGAAGAAAGCGAAGACCTGCCGCCGCAGTTGTGAAGTCGGCTGCGCGTCGAGCCCCGTTCCGCGGAAAGCTCGCGGCCCCGGCCAGCCGGCGGAGGGCCTCGTTCGGGGCGTGCTGCGATCCGCGGCCCTCTCGTTCGGGGCAGGCCGGGCACTGCCCTGCGCGCGGAGCTCACAGGCGGGGAGGCCCTCCGCCGCCCTGGGCGCCCGTGCCCGTCCCCCCTGGAGAGCGAGCCCTGCGGAGAAGGGCAGGGCCCCCAAGCCGGGCGCCTCGGCCCGGCGAACCCGCCTTCCCGCTCGGTCTGGGAGAAGAGTTAGGCCCGCCTTCCCGGGTGGACCACACATACCGTGCACCAGACTCCAGCGGCCAGCTGCTGACCGGCTGCAGCTGGACTTGTGCCCTCCTTAGCTAGAGGCGGGCAGGGGAAGGCCAATTCCTGGCTTCACGTGGGGCCGTGGGATGGCCCCCCTCCAGGCCGCGCGATGAGAGCCTGCCCCTCGGCGCTCCAGCAGCACCCTCCTTCCTTCTGGCCCGGTGCTCGCTCCCAGGAGCTGCTCCTCCTGGCTGTCAGCCGGCTCGGTTTGCGCGCTTCCCGGCCCTCCCTTCCTCGCCCGTAGCAGTGGGCCCAGGCCTGCCCTGCTCAGGCTGTACTGAACGTTTTCACTGGCGCGGCAAGAACAGCTTTCTTCGAGGCGGTTGTAGGAGCTGTGTGTCACTCAGCTCTGGCCGCAGTGGTCCCCCAAAGCCAGCCTTCTGGGTTTCTGCTAGGGTCTCAGTAAGCACTGCCTGTCACACGCACAGGTTGGGCTTCGGTGGCGGGGCCTGCATCTGCTTCGGGCTGCAAATCGAGGTTAGCTGGGGTAGCGCCCCTCTCGATGCGGTCCCTGTCCCCCGGACAAACAAGCTTCCTGCAGCTCTCCCTGCGATTTCAGAAGCACAATGAAAGCAAACAGAAATTTCAGGCCAAGGCAGGACGGCTGGCTGTGATTTGCAACCGTATTCCCTTGACCCAGCAGCTACAGGGGACCCAGAATGTGAAGCCCCCAGAAAGGAAAGCAGAGGTAGCGCGTGGAGACAGGCTGGGTAATATTGTTGGAGATTTCACGTTACCAAGCACAAAGTAAGACCATAAGTTCTGGGAAAGGCCGTAAGGGCTTCCAGAACCATAGGTATTAAAATAAGCCCTTGATCTTGTGATCCCAAGAAAGGAATCAGAGTTCAGAGGAGACTCTGGCCTAAAAGGAAGAATCCGCAGGACTCTAATATTAGCATCCCAGCAGTGACATTCACGACAGCCCCCGGCGGGGACCCGGCGGGGACCGAGGGCAGGCCTGTGCCAAGCGCTTGGCATCAGCTCTCCAGCCCCATCAAGGCCCTGGACAGGTCGGGAAGGGCTCTCCCACTGGCAGGGCAATGAAGCTAGAGAGGTTTCCTCAGGCCAACACCCCTGGCTGGCAGGCTGCCCTTGGCCTCTCACAGCAAGTACCGCTTTGTTCTCCCTGACCCCACAGCCCTGCGGGGCCCTTCTAATTAGCGCTTCCTTCCCCTGCCCTTTTTATAGCCTCCTGTTCTTTGAAATCAGACTGCAGAGAAAAATATCCCTTCTGTCCAGACTTTTCTAAAGTCTCGTTGTGGAGAATGGTGGCCAGTCCCCTGCCCCACCATCTCCTCTCTGGGGAGGAGCAGCCAGGATTCCCTGGGGAAATTCCCCCTCGTCCCAGACAGAGCGCAGGCTGCCGACGGGTGCATTCTATGACCTCGGCGTGGGACCTGAGCCCGTGGGCTCCATGCCTTGGGAACACGTGCCTGCCCGTTTCTCTGCCGTAGTCTCCCCGTCTGTAACATAAGGTGACGGTGATGATGACAGCTGCTCCTCAGAGCTGCTGAGAGGAACAGTGGAGATAGTGCACCTAAAGAATGCTTTCCAGGCAGGTCTGTATCCCAGCACTCCAGGAGGCTGAGGCAGGAGGATGGAAAGTGTGAGCCCAGCTTGTGAGACAGTGTCTCACAGTGTAAAATGAGGGGTGGGGCTGGGAAAGTAGCTGAGCAGAAAGGCCAGCCCTGGAAGAGGAGGGCTGTGGTCACCGTCGGTCAGGCCTGAGCACATGCTGCAGCCGCTCCCAGGACTCTGCTACGGTTTCGTGAAAGCCACTGAGACAGTGGCTTATTGTCTGTCTGTCTGTCCGTGTCTCTGTCTCCCAACCCCCATGGGGGCAGTAAGTAGGCCGTGGGATGTGAGCCTGACCAGCTTGAAGACCCGAAAGGCCAGCCCCCCTCCCTGTGAAGGCCTGCGTCTTGGGGCAGCCCTGGCCTCACAGCAGCAGGCAGCAGGGCCGGGATGGGGCGGCCAGGTGAGAAGAGAACTGTGGGATGTCTTCAGACCCCAGCGCCCACAGCATGGCCCCGAGGACGGAGGAGAGGAGAGAGAGCCTTTACAGCAGAACGCCTCCCTCCCTTCCTCCAGGCTTCCAGCCAAAGAGTACAGCTGGGTCCTGCAGCCCCAGGTCTGGGTCTCTGCTCAGCCTCCGCCCAGGAGCCATTTCTGTCCTCCGATGGGTCCCGGGAACTGGCAGCCCTGGGCTCAGGCTGTGCAGGGGGCATGTTCCTGTGCCTGACGTTGGATACTGAGTTTCCCTCCTCCCGCCTAACCACTTGCACGTATGGGCCCTGCGGGTAAATGAGAGGGTACCTGGCAGTAAGGCGCAGTGCCTGGCGGAGGAAGTGGCTCCCACACTATCTCTTCTACCCGCAGGGACTGGCATTGCTCAGAAACAGACCCTGTGGCCTGCCCTGTTCAGGTCTTCATCAGATTTTGGATTTGATGGCCAAATCTGCTCATTCCCCATAAATCTCGCTCTGCGGATGTTTAGTTGTCTCCAGCAAGAGAGTGAAGCCAGAGGCTCGCAGAGGCCGCCTGGAGTCTCCTGCCTTGGTGGCTCCCTTGGTGTTGAAGAGATCCCCCAGCCTCCAGGGTCTCTGAAGCCTCACCACAAGGAAGCGAAAGGCCCAGGGCAGCAGAACAGGCCTATTTTATGATCACTCCTATTTTTAAATGTCTTGATCTCAGTAAAACAGTTTCCAATTCAGTGACAGCGGGGCATTTGTTTTGATCCTGGGACTCTCACCCACCAGCCAGTTATTTTGGTTCCAACAGAAGTGTTTGTTTTCTAAAAGGCAGCAGTTTGGTGTACTCTCCTTCCCAGTCCCTCAGGGTGTGGCCTCGAGGGCTTGGGCTGGTCCTCCCTGGCTTCGGCCTTCGGACTCCTGCTTCCCCAGACCGAGCGTCCTCTGCCTGTCTGCACGCGGCTCTCTCTGCCGTGCTGGCTTCCATGCGACTCTGGGAGACCCGTGGCCAGACCCATCTGCCGCACCCGCGGGGTCCTTGGCGTTCTCATGGGCGCCTCACCCTGGAGTCACTGGTCTTTCCGCACCTGTCTGTGAAATACCCATCGATCCCAGACTCCAACGTGCTGGGTCCTGCCCTGACCCCAGGACTCAGGCGGTGCGTGGAGCACTGTTAATAATGAAAAGAAGGTATTGCATGTGTAAATGAATCATCCAATAATTCACAGTAATTTGAAAGTTTGATAGTCAGCGCAGATGCTTGGCTGAAGGATGCTACCTAGGACAGGTGAACGAACAATCTGAACATACTCTGACTCATTATGAAATCTGGAAAAGGTGATCGAAAGACATTCCAGGGTTTTGCTAACAATCTTGCACGTGCATACGTGGACTGCTGGGAGCCCGTCTTGAACTATAGGCGTGACCAACAGCCCAGGAAGAGGGAGACGCGTCAGTGGCTAGTTGTAAGTGGATAATAAAAGCACAGACTGGGAGGGAGCTGAACAAATTAGAGGGGGGAAGGGCCGCTCACCGTCACCACGGCAAGCGTTGCCACCCAAGGTCCTGGGGTGCTGGGGGTGCCGGGGTTTAGCGGGTCTGCCGGGGTTGGTTTGTGTAGAGCAACAGTCAGCCTGCCGGACACAGGAAGAAGACATCGAACTCGGGCTACGCCAGCCAGTCAAACACTGACTTATCTGTCGCACATGCTGTCTCACTGCTGAACAGGAAATCTCCTAACGTAAGGCAGAGCCTTGTACATGCCAGACAAGTGCTTTATCACTGAACTACATCCTCATCCCTTTTTAGTTTTAATTTTATTTTGAGGTTTTTTTGTTTGTTTGTTTGTTTGTTTTCCGGTACCGGGAGTCAAACTCACGACCTTGCACTTGCCAGGCAGGCGCTATGCCGCTGAGCTAAATCCCCAGCCCCCTTTAATTTTCTTTTGAGATAAGGTGTAGTTAAATTGCCCAGACTGGTCTTGAATTTGTGATCCTCCTGCCTCAGCCTTCCTAGTAGCCTAGACTTTTTTTTTTAATCTTTCGGTTTGGGTATCTAGAATTAATGCCAGTGGGTAAACAATTGAATATGTGCTATGATAGCCATACAACCTCAACTCCTAACAAAACAAAGTTCAGTCCTAATTCACAAGTCACAAATATTCTCAGTCTATTAAATGTTCATTAACAAGGTAAATTTTAAGTAGCTACCAGACAGCACATTATACACTGGGAGGCACAGAGGAACTACGTCCTCAGAGAGTTTTCTTGCCTGTGTAAGAAGTAGCTTGTAAAAGTTCTGGACCCATCTAATAGAAACTCACTCAATTTAACTCAAGTAAGGAAGACAAACAAATAAAAATGCAGCATGGAAACCACATACAGGAAGCTTGGTCCCTAGCACAGTTGAAAACCCAAGGCAGAACACCCACACACACCTTGGGCAATCTCGCTCAGGCTTTTCTGGCTGGTCCCAACGCTACATGGCATCTTTATATTTGTCAGCTTCCAGTGCTGGGGCCAAATACCTGACACCTGCAACTTAAATGAGGGGAGGTTTATTCTGGCTCACAGTTTGAAAAGGTTCAGTCCATGGTAAGCTGGCTCCAAGGCAGGAGTATCATGGCAGAAGTGGAGGAAGGCTTCTCAATTCATTACACTTGGGAAGCAGAGAGTAGGGCCAGAGAGAAAGGGCCCAGGGACCAGATAAAGTACTTCAGGTGATAACCCCCTAACCCGTACGGACACACCCAAAAGTATACTTGGCTAATCTCCGAGGCCTGTCTCAAGCCAACCAAGGTGACAATCAAGATTCACTATCACAGTCTTGAAGATCAAGTGATGGCTATGGGAACCCATCATGCCTGGGTATTGCAGGAATGGGCCACAGAACTTGCTGCTCCTGACAGGGACCGTCTGCAGGTTGCCTCTGACAGTGACATTTTAACTACAGCTGCTCATTGACCTATATCCCAATGAACCCACTGTACATTGACCAAAGCATAAATTAGAGATGCATTTTGCACACCTCACTACTCACAGAGCTCAGCCTCACAAAACACTGTGGGTGCTGGCTGACAGACAGAGCCGTGCTGCCCAGAGTCTGCAGAGAGGAGTGGAGTTCAACAGGGAGCTTGAGGGAAGACAAAACTCAGCATTTGAAGTACGGTTTCCTCCTAATGTTTGTGGCTTTGATAGTATAACATTGAAAGAGCCTAAGCTGAACCATTGTACGTTGAGGACTCAAAAGCAAAAAGGATCCACAAATAAGAATTAACAGAGGGGGCAGAGGGGGCAAATAGCAGAGGGCAGAGAAGTTCCAGAAAGGAAGTAAAAGCCCTAGATTTGTTCAGTCAAGAAAGACAGCAAATGAAAATGTAATGGGGAGAAGGAATCTGCCCCAAA